AATAAAAAAGAAAAGAAAAAGAAAAGAAAAGAAACACACAAGGCGATCTCAGTACACCGCCATTCAAGATTTCGAACATTTCATCTGTTGATTGACATGTTGAATCTTTAGTCTTTGCTGTTTGCGCGGTCTGCTGTTGTAGTCGCATTGCGATGATAACTGGAAATAGCCGAGATACGTATCTGACGCCGGACGGCGAGGGCCAGAAAAGAGACCTGAAGAGATGGTTATCGTGAGAAACAAAATCAATGAATAATTGAGGCCAGTAATGATCAAAACCAAGTGGCTCGCCCCCGAGACCTTGAAGAGAAAACACGTCAGTGGCCTGGATACGACAAATGGTCGTAGGCGAATATTAGGCCATGATCATCCTGAACTGTCCAACACTTTCAATCAAGACTTTTCTCTAATTTTTAGTTGACCACAGTGGATGATGTACATGTAGCCTCGAACCCCTATCGCCAGGCCCGATGAGAAAGCAAAGCAAACCCGAACGCCAGAGTCGTAGTCCAACAGATAAAACCCTCCCCAACTCAGACTTTGAAGCTGAAAACTCCAGTCATGGCCTACCGGCCTCCTCTGCTGAAACCACCCCTGCCACGGCCGCCGCCGAAGCCACCACCTCCTCTCGGCGCACCGCGGCCACCACCGAAGCCACCGCCGCCGCGACCGCCTCCACGGCCACCGAAACCACTGCCGCCACGGCCTCTGGGAGCACCTCCACGGCCGCCAAAGCCGCCACGGGGACCACCACGACCGCCTCTTGCCGGGCCACCACGGCCGGCACGCTTGACCTTGGGGGCACCTGGGGGAGGCTTGGGCTTAGGCAGGAATTTCTCCAATGGCAGAAGCTTCTCGGACCCGATGTAGAACTTGTCGCCCTCCTTGAAAGAAGTTGCCTGAATACCCTCGGAAGGCTTGATGGTGAAGTAAACCTGGTTGATGGGTCCGAGGACTTCGTCGACCTTGCCAACGGCAGTCTGTCAGAAAAAGGACAAAGTTAGTCGAGTTCTATTTCCTTTGGCTAATTTCGATCGAGATATAAATCGACGAGGGGTAGGTCGCACCTTGTTCTCGAGGAAGATCTGAGCGTTGAAATGAGGAACCTTGGGGTTGATGCTCTCGCAGATCATCTCGCCTTCGCAAGCGTGCATGAACTTGCCCATCTCTATACGAAAATTGCCGATTAGAATACTCTCGTGAGACAAAACAGCGACAAGGTGAGAGAACGTACCAAGGATTGTCGCGGGCGGGCCCATATCTCTGTTCTGGAAGCCACCACGGCCTTTGAAGTTATGTTAGCATCAAACTGTGAATTCCGTCACCGAGCAGACCCAATCTGCAAGTGCATTGGGATAATGAAATGTAGAGTGATTTCATACCTCCAAAACCGCCGCCGCCGCGACCACCGAAACCACCACCGCCACCGCGACCGCGCGGAGCTCCTCGTCCGAATGACATGTTGATATGTGGATTGGCGGGTTGTCGTTCGGAGCTGCTCCTGTACTGAGTGCTTTGGTGCTGCTATTGAAAAAAACGAGGCCAACGGGCAGCCGACAGAAAATTTCCCAGCGACCAAATTGTGGTGCAGGCCAATCGAGCTCCCTCATTGGCCACGGCTAGCGGGTCGGAACAATCCCTTCCGGGTGACCCCGCCAAAATTTCCAATACCTGGCCAGCCACCAGCCCACCTGCCTGACTTGAGGGCCATTGGCGGGGTGGTGGGCTCCAATGCAGGGAGTGCGGGCCAGACACCACCAGAAAGTCGTCCGAACACCTTGTTTGACTCACCGTAGGCTTTGGCGGGGTTGCTTCGCTGTGTTTCGCCCAAATTTGTTGGCACGAAAATCGGTCTTCGTGTGCCTTTACTTTTTCAACCCTCACCCTTCTCACGCCTACCACGACCGCTCATTTGGACGACATTATGGATTCCGCGAAGCAGGCCGTCGAGGCCGTCACCGAGGGCGTCAAGAAGGTCGCTCTCAACAAGGACAAGGCGCCAAAGAAAGAGAAGAAGGCTAAGGATACTGGCGATGCCTCGGCCGGACCCCTCGAGCTCAACCCTCCGCCCGATTTCCTCCAGAAGAGACTCGACCTTTTCGACAAGTTGAAGAAGGAGTACGATGAAGAGCTCGCCAGCAGGCCACGTGAGGCCATCACCATCACCATGCCTGACGGCTCTATTCGTCAGGGCACCAGCTACGAGACCACCCCCGGCGAAATCGCGAAGAGCATCTCCAACAGTCTGTACAAGCGCACCGTTGTCGCAAGACTCGACGGCGATCAGAACCAGTTGTGGGACTTGGATAGACCTTTGGAGAAGAGCTGCAAGTTGGAGTTGGTGAGCTTTGACGACGAGCAGGGCAAGCAGGTCTTCTGGCACAGCTCCGCACATATTCTTGGCGAGGCTTGCGAGAGGAGATTCGGATGCTCTCTGTGCATCGGTCCTCCGGTCGATAATGGTTTTTACTACGAGATGGCGCTTCCCGGCGGCGCTTCTGTCCAGGCTAGCGACTGGAAGCCCCTCGAGTCTATTGTCGGATCGATTGTGAAGGAGAAACAGAAGTTTGAGCGCCTCGAGCTTACCAAGGAGCAGCTTCTGGAGATGTTCAGCTACAACAAGTACAAGCAGCACATTATCAACGACAAGATTCCCGATGGTACGAAGACCACTGTTTACCGCAACGGTCCTCTGATCGATCTTTGCCGTGGACCCCACGTTCCCAGCACCGACCGTATCGAGGCTTTCAGCATCATGAAGAACAGTGCCTCCTACTTCCTCGGCAACCAGGAGAATGACTCTCTGCAGCGAGTTTACGGTGTCAGTTTCCCTAGCAAAAAGGAGCTGGCTGCGCACAAGAAGTGGCTTGAGGAGGCAGCTGCCCGTGATCACCGCAAGTTGGGCCAAGACCAGCAGCTCTTCTTCTTCCACGAGCTCTCCCCCGGCAGTGCCATGTGGCTGCCCCACGGTGCGCGTATCTACAATACCCTCCTGGCTTACATTAAGGAGCAATACTTCAAGCGCGACTACCACGAGGTTATCTCGCCCAACATGTACAACGCAGAGCTGTGGAAGATCAGTGGTCACTGGGACCACTACAAGGATGACATGTTCGTCCTCGATGTCGACAAGGAGAAGTTCGGCTTGAAGCCCATGAACTGCCCTGGCCACTGCCTCATGTTTGCTCACACCCCCAAGGCGTATCACCAGCTGCCGTGGCGTGTTGCTGACTTTGGAGTCCTTCACCGCAACGAGGCCAGCGGTGCCTTGTCCGGTCTCACCCGTGTGCGCAGATTCCAGCAGGACGACGCTCACATCTTCTGCAGAGAGGATCAAATCAAGTCTGAGATCAGCAACTTGTTTGACTTCCTCAGTGAGATGTACGGCCTGCTGGGTTTCACCTTCAAGCTCCGTCTCTCCACTCGCCCAGACAAGTACTTGGGAGAGCTTGAGACATGGAACAGGGCTGAGGGCATGCTGAAGCAGGCACTCGACGAGTTCGCCGCCACAGAAGGCGGTGTGCCATGGACTATCAACGAGGGTGATGGCGCCTTCTACGGTCCCAAGATTGACATCAAGATCCTGGACGTCTTGAACCGTGAGTGGCAGTGCGCCACTATTCAACTGGACTTCCAACTTCCTCAGAGCTTTGGTCTTGAGTACGTCTCAGCGGAAGTCAACACTAAGCCAAAGGAAGAGGAGGCACCTGCCGCTCCCAAGGTCCCCGAGTTCAAGGCCAAAGACCCTCAAGCCGTTATCGACTCAGCTGCCGGTACTGGCGAGGAGGAGAAGGAAAAGAAGCGCGTCATCAAGCCTTTGACGAACGGCTGCCAGCGCCCTGTCATTATCCACCGTGCCATGGCTGGATCCATTGAGAGATTCACAGGTTAGAATTGCGCATGGCATGCCGCTTGAGCATCGCTAACATTCGTGCCCCAGGTATCCTCATCGAGCACTTCGCCGGAAAGTGGCCCTTCTGGCTCAGCCCTAGGCAAATCATGGTCATCCCTGTTGGTAAGGGCTTCGTCGAGTACGCCGAGGAAGTCCAAGCCACCTTTAAGAAGCAGGGCATGTGGGTGTGAGTAGTTCTCCGCTACCCGTTTGGATCTGGAAGAGATTCGCTAACTCAACCTCTCTAGTGATGTCGACCTGTCCGGCAACACGCTGCCCAAGAAGATTCGCAGCGCTCAGCTTGGGTACGTACAATGGACTGCGCTTCCGTTTGGTTTGAGAATGTGACTAACTCGCATAGCCAATACAACTTCATTTTCGTCGTTGGTGACGAGGAGATGAAGAACAAGCAGGTCAACATCCGCTACCGTGATGACACCTCGAGCCAGGACCGCGGCAAGCCCGTTGACGTCGCCGAGGCCGTTGAGAAGATCAAGAAGCTGCGCGAAGAGCGCGGCACCTATAACCCATTCCCCTCCGTGGTGAAGCCCAAGGAGGACAAGGCATGAACGTGAGAGATGGAGCATGGCTTTCATGACAAAATGAATTTTGAAGATGGTGTTTGGGAGGGTGGTGAAACATTTTGCAATTTGTAGCCTAGACTAGAGGCGCAAATCGTATCCATGGATGTGCGGGAACAAAATACGAAAAATCGAATTCCAAATGATGCCAATGGACGACGATCGAGTGGCAATGATCAAGTGGCAACGGAGGAAAATGTGTAAGTAGGGTATCATGCGTATTGTATTTTCGCGTGCACGCTTAGATGTGTATCTCTGTGCTACAGACGTCCATTCCCTCAGTGCAATTGACTGATAGTTCCCGCTCCGTATTGTTCACCTCTGGCTTCGCCTCGTATGATTCTGCGGCGAAAGACTAGCTCGTGGCCCCAGTTCGTGTTCTCGCTGCGCAGAGAGATCTTACGAGACCTCTCTTGTTTCTTTATTCTTGTGCTCGTGTTGAGGCGCAAACACGTCTCAAGAACTAGGAAGGACAGACTCTCGCCCGCTTAGCTCATGGTATGACCGAAAAAGTTAGGAGATACGCCCTAAGGCTTGGGAATATGAATGCTCTTGCTGGTCATAAGGCATCCGTGAACCACGAACACAAGAGCAATGGGGTGGAATTCCAGTGCAGTTCCCGACAGCCACGTTCCGAGAGGAAGGTCCTGAAGAATCCAACGCTGAGATACCAAGTACGCCATCACAGCGTCAAGGCCAAGACTGGTAGGGATGGGAGTGCCTTCGAAGTATTTGCTTTTTCCAGTTGCATCCTTGGGAAGAGCGGCGACAGTTACGTTGAAACGAGCGAGACGCGTGAGGCCGCAGAGGACAAAGAAGGTCAGGCAGAGGTGGTCGATGGGTGTGCGCAAACCAAGGGCGAAGGCCACAGAAGCAGGAGCGACGCCGAAAGAGATCTGTGTTATATATCAGCCGGGCTTGCTCCAACTCAATCCCGCTCGGAGAGACTCTATTATTCCCTGCCAAGGATTATAGGTGTAGACCATCGACCCGGGATAAACGGATTTGTCGCTTGCAAACGTACCAGGTCAGCCAGAGAATCAAGCTCTTGGCCCATCATACCACTCTTCTTTCTCCAACGTGCAACTTTACCGTCCATGAAGTCGAAGAAGAGGCCAAATGGTAGGAAGGAGAGGGCGAGGTACAGCGTGCTAGTGGACGAGGGATCGCCAAGACAGTAGCGCAGAGAGGTAAAAATTGACATGACACCACAAGCTCCTATTCCACAGCAAGTCAGCAGTGCTCTTCTCCTCTCAATATGACTTTGCAGTGCATCCGGTCTCAGAAGACGCATCTCGCTTGGGAAAACGTGCGGAAGAAGCTGGGAATATGTGAAGACCGTACCATTACAGAGGGTAATTGCGTCGGCGAGGTGGAGGGCGCGGATCAAAGAAAAGTGACCGGGGTCGGCCGCGAGAAGGAGATTCTGCTTGTCGTGGGCTGCATTGAAGGCGACGTATTAGCTCGGATGGCATCTGGAGAGAGCAGTACGTGCAACATACCAGGCTCGGCGAAGCTATCAGCAGCATCTTTGGCTGCCTTGCCATTGGTGGCTACGCTGCTTGTCCGTTTCGACATGTTTGGTTGGGGCTTTCCCTGAGGCTAGCTGTGTGGACTGTGAAGACGTTGTCGGAGGAGAGACACAGTGGATGCTTGTTGATATGCCCGTTCAATTTCGTGAATTTTTCCTTGTCCTTTTGGAAATCTCGACGGTGGGCGTTAAGAGGGACGAAGCACGAAAATTGTGGAAGCGGAGAAGAGAGGTTGAGAGGATTGAGCTAGTTTTTGTATGCAGCAGCTTCGTGGAGTGGGAGGCAGGTGTAGGAAGAAATGTGAATGGAGGTGCTGGGCAAGCAAGGTAGGTAGGTAGGTCGGCATGAGGTAAGTCGGTCACACTCCTCCGCCTCAAAGCCAACTAGGATAGCTGGGGAAGGCACATGCCGTCATAGCCCTGTCGTTCTAGACCTGAAGCCGACTAGCGGGGGAGCTGGTCCAGCTCACGAGGTGCCGTGCACGTGATTTCCACCATGGCGTCCAACGTCGCACGGTCCAGGCACCGCCAACAACCGGGAAATCTTGGCACGGGCACCATATTGGCATATGCCAGCCACATGGGGGCACCCACGCACCTTTCCTTGGGGTAAGCTACTTGGCTACCTCAATAGACAACACCTTTTGGCCAACCCATTTTTAGCAGTTTCTTATCTTACCTTACCTACTTTCTGGAAGGTTGCTGTCAATGTCAATGTCGTACGTGCCATTGCGGGGTCTACGCTTCATGTGTGTAGCCGTGTATTCATTTCGTGTATTAGGTATTTACAACGACGAGGCAGATCACTTATTCTTCTGCTGTAAAAACCACCTTGGCTTGTTGCGTCGAAGTGGCCACCCAACCTAATTCACCGCGTCCCGTACGTGGTCTTGTCCATGTCCAAGGCGTCTCGTCTGCTAGGTATTTCGAGGCCGGTAACCCCCTAATTTGATGCTCGCCAACCAGGAGATAGCGTGCCATATATTGGAATGTGATACTCCAGTATAAGGCGGATGTCTAGGCGTGCTTCGCCAGGAAGTTGTAGGAAAGACGTGCAATTTCCATCATTGTTTTTGGACGAGCCAGGAACCCATGCCATATAGATGATGGCAATGGTGCTCCAATTCTTCCTCCCGTTTCGTAAATACTATTAAGTTTTATCTCCAGCTGCCGCTCGTAAGAATGACAGAAACGCCACGGATTTCCTTTATCGAACAATAAGGATCGAAAATCCGTCGACCCAGGCTCCACAGGAGCCTGCCACACCGCAAATAGTGTATCCTCTTGGGGGTATCAAAGTATGTCTGTCGGGGTGATCAGCGACAACTGACGATTAAATGAAACGCGTTTCCTAGACTTACGTGGATCCGCCCTGAGCATTGCCAAATATAGGCGACCGTCTGCCCAAGCTCGTGAGGACCTGGATTGCATCAATCCAAGCGCCCGAGCGGACGTAAAAGCCTGAGATGTATTCACCCCGGCGAATATCTAATGGGCATCTGTTAGTATATGGGCTTAACTTGACCCTGGCAGAAAGGACATACCAAAATCAAACGCATCGCCACCCTCTTTGCCTCCCCGTTTGCCAAATAATTGCGTTGTGTCGTCATCATATACGAATTCCATGCCGTCTACTGCATATCCATGGTAGAAGATGATGCGGGAGAGCACTCGGTTCTGTTTTCCGCCGCTCTCAAAGATGATTTCCTGTGGCTCAGTGCCATCCATGGCTGAGTGGCCCAGAGGTTTGCCTCTGTAGGCTGTCTTGCCGAGCGGGCCAGGGGTTAATTTGAATGAAGACTCCTTGGAGCACAGCTTTTTGAAATCATCGATTTCCAAAGAACCGCCGCTATGCGATTTGACCGACACCCTAAGCCGCCCCTTCCGCTTGTTCTCTGGGAGCTTCTCGCGTAGCTCGCGGTCGTTCAATGTTAGTTGACGTTGTACCGAATTGTTTTCGAGGGGATATTCAATCCATTTTCGGCAGAGATCATCGTCCTCTGCGAATAGCTCGATGAATGCGATGCCAGTCGCTGCCATTACAACCACGTTTCCGCTCTCAATTGGGAAAGCGTGGACGCTGTCGTCAGCGTTCATGGGGGGGTCGTTTGGCAACCTGAAGCAGGGATGGGCGCGGAAACGTAAACAATCCAAGCGGTGCCAACCGCACTCGTCATCTTGAAGAACCAGGCCCCCCTTGGACTTGGTCCTTGTGCAGAATGCCTCACGGGTCACGAAGCTGCGATTGAGTGTCAGGTAGTCGCGGAGCATCACTCCAGACTCCTGATGAGGACATCCAAAAAGGTGGCCTGTCTCGTGCAGATGGGCACCAATTCCGATGTTCGCTGCCTCCCAGGAGCTGCCAGCCTGGTTGCAATCGTTGGCGACGTAGGCAAGGTCAGTCGGAGTGCAATCCGTAAATGCAGGGACGACTTCTTCGAAACTCGTGGGATAGCTTTGCAGGCAATGGGATCCGAAAATGGCCAAGTGCAGATCACCTGCATTACCGCCCAACGCTGCGTGGCCCCTTACGACATTGGCCTCCTTATCCCATTGCGTATCGAGCATCAACACGGAAACGTATTGCTTCTGGCCACCTAGTGGCCTGAAGTATTGTTTCACCGCATCGGCAGCTATTTCGTATAGGTCCCCCTTCTTGCTCGCCTTCTCATTCTGTTGCGCTAGCTCGAGATCTCGAATTTCGGCGACTGTCTTGTCTGATCTGATGATATGGATCCTGGCCTCAGAGCGTAGGTTTCCGTTTTCTCGATCCCGCTGGTTCGATGTGCCGGCGGTCCATTCCTCCTCAAACCTGAAGACGCGACGTCCAAGTTTGTTTCGCCACATTTGCTCAGCTGTAAAGGCTTGCCAGAGGTAAGCGGCCATTCGGAATTTGCGAACTGCCGTCTCCAAATCATTGCCCTCTCGCTCAATCCTTGTAGGTACCGCATCGAAGGTCTCAGGAGAATCCTTGGCAACCATGATAGCGAGCTGCAGCGGAGGTGCATTGTTCGCCGGCAACATGTGTATCGTCAAGTAAGATGCGTGAATCGGATTGGATGACGAACTGTTGGGCAACTTTGGACTTGAGAAGTCGAAGCGGATCTTGTTTGGGCCTGGCTGTAGGTAGACGAGGGCCTTGAAATTGGAGTTGCATGCGGGCCAACATGTTGGTGGAAAGTTGTCGTCGAGTCGGGTTACCGAAACAGTGCCGTCGAGAGAGTGCTGCGAGGAGTCGCCAATAGTCCCATGTACGAGGAGAACCTTTTGGTATACCTTCTCAAATATTAGCAGAGCGCTCGGAAGCTGCAGCTAGAAGCTGGTGGCCGCGGTTGCGGATGTCTATGGCTGGCCGTCTGAGCGAAGCCGCCGCGAGCATGATTGGAGAAGCAAAGGTGACACCGCACGGGGCCACGACCCATGCGTATGATTGAGATGACCTACCCAGGCATTGTCGGTGATATTTGCAACTCTGGGCGCATATTGAGAGACTGGCAACGCCGACTTCCCGCCCACAACAGGAGAACCAAGGCCTGCCATACCAGAAACGCTGTGTCGGTGGGAATTGGGCACCGGTTGCAGCGGCGGACGAGCTTGAGGATTGCCCCCATTGGAGTCCTTTACTTGGAGGTCGAGAGCAGAATCGGAGGCTTGAGCCATGGATGGTGGGGTCGAGGCACCGCTTGTGGCAGTGGGAGTGGTAATGTTACTGGCATCGCTGGAAACGTCGGTGTTTGAGCGGTCGGTCTTGAAGCTGGCTTTCGAACGACGCCGAAGTCCTCTGAAGTTGAGAATGGACGGAGCCATTGTGCCTCATAGAGCATGCGATAGCTCAACCGCAAACGAGTGACAGCTTCAGCAGTAGATATTTTGGCATGTGCAGCGTTCTGGAGGAGCAGATGATGCAACTTAGAAGAGTCGGGCTCGGGTCCAACGGAGGGAGGAGCAGAGAGCTGGATTGGGGTTGTCTTTACGAGCAGAGGTAGGTAGATAGGTAGGTAGGTAGGTAGGTAGGTAGGTTATTGAGGACAGGTAGAATCCCAACGACAGTAGAACCCGGACGGGGGGAAGGGTTCCTCGTATCGGGTCACTGATCAGCGAGCGGTATCTGCAACGAGTGTGTGCTTGGTGCGGGATGGTCGACGTTTGAAAGTAGGCGACGTGGACGGATCCGCAGGAGTGCGGCTGTGATGAAGGACAATTGGCAAACAGCAGCAAATTCGAGAAGGTAGATTTGGCAGCGCAATAGGAGAGCAAGCAAGAAAGGAAGAAGAAAAAAGGGCGCAAGTGGTCTGCAGGGAAAGGATGGGAACAGACCCAGGATGGGATGAGAGAGAGGACGAGATGAGAGATGGGATGGATGATGGAGGGGGGGGAAGCTTGGGAAGGAACTCCGGAGTGACCAAAAAAAAGTTGTCCAACAATTACAGGTGTGCAAGTGTGCAATACCGGTATCCGTACTGCGTACCTATGCAATGTCCAAGGTCCGGACGCTTGCTCCAGAAGGAGTGAGGTGTGGTCCAGTTGGTGTCCACGTCTACGTCCACACTTCACGTCTCACGGCCCGGCTTGACAAGCGTACCCGTAGTCTTGATGCCGTCTCCATTTGCGAGCCGACAGATGCAGCTAGACATGGAGCGAAATCCAGATTTGCGCGTCCAAAGAGGGACAGCAAATGGATAATGGACAGGTAGGTACACTAGCGTAGTACGGACGGGTGCGCAAATTGAGGTGCAGCATAACGGCAGGACCCATGTCGAGATTTGCGTGTGGATTCGTACATTTGCATAAGAGGCCTGCTAACAAGCCAGGTAGACATGCTGGTCGGCAGATAACCGGCAGCGAGTTCGTCGATGACGTTGCCGTGTTTCGAGAGTGGGAAACATGAGTGCGGCGGATTGAGATTGCGACCGGGGGTTTGGTTGACCAGGAAAATGGAGTAAGAAAAAACAAGACTGGCCAAGGAGATGGGCTTCAGCGTCCTGGCCTCGAAACTGCGAGATAACGAACGTTGAAACTCTGATTGACAGATCAGCGTACTCTGTGC